AAATTGCCCCCAACAACAATCCGGATCCTCATTTTACCCATCTTGGAAGGATGGAAGGCTGAGTCAACCTTGAGTCTGGTGGGATTCGAACTGCCAAACTGCAGGCAGCCGGCAGAAGTAGCCGGCAGTACTGCACTGTAACCACTGTGCCACTGCAGCTCATTATTTACCCTTTTCCTATGTAGCGGGAAATGGTCACCCTTTCTGAAGCAACCTTTTCTTCTCTCCCAGCCCCGTATCCAGCCCATCGTCCCTTTTAGCAGAATCTGTGGCAACATGCGAAGTGGAAAGTTCAGACATCATGGATAAACCTCAAGGAGAAGATGTACAAGGTTAGCACAAAGGGGGCCTCGGAATGCCTTTGGCTTCTCTTTTCATTTTTGGGGTGCTTTTCTTCCTCGTTCAATCGCGCACACTTTGCCCCAAAGGCAACACAAGGAAAAGCTTGTTCACTTGCTTTAGGACTGGCAATTGGATCATTCTGCAAAGCTGCTTGTTCAAAATCTGCCCCCAGCAGATTTTGGTGATTGACTGGTAAGAAATGTGTCAGCGTTCCAAATAACATCCAAAAGTAAATCAGAGTCCAAGGCAAAGTATTGCTCTAAGTTCCAATTTATTAAGAGAGACATGTTGGCACCAGTGTGGAAACCCGAATCTGAAAGCTTCTTGGGTTTCCCCACCCAGTTGAGAGTTCAAGGTCTTGCCCCCACACCCACAAGTCCATCACATGGTCTAATCTTCCACTGCCATGCTGGCAGGCTTCCACCCATCCAGTTCCGGTCAGGTGCGGAGGTGCAGAGACAAAGGATGACCTTGGCTTTTTAGAAAGGAAAGTTTTATTTTGACAACATCACATTCTACTCCTTCCCCTCCCCACTAATGAAACAGCATAGTAGGATAGACTATTAGTGTGGCAGGCCAAAGATCCCAAAAGGAACCGGCTGCAGGCATGACAGAATGTCCTTCTGGAATTGGCATAATAGCGCTCTGTAGCAGGGCCCCCCAACTCCTGTGCCATTGCCGAGCCCTGTCCTATTCAGAATTGGACGACGCGAGTGGTTGACCGGAGTGCATGCATGCAGTTCAACTTGTGCAAGCAGCGGGCGGGCTGGCAGGCACTCACTTGCATGCGTGCCAGCCCGCCACTCACACAAGGATTGTGTGCACATGTGTGCTGGCCCACTGCTCATGCAGCTCAATTCAAAGGTGTGGCATTGCTACTCTGTACTAAAGAGCATTTGAACCGTGGCACGACAAAACCGCGGTCCACTAAAGCGCGCCCGATTAAACCGCGTCGCTGACGTCATCAGCA